CTGGCGCCCTGGGGTCACTTGTGATCTGGCCGAGACCGGGCCCCCGTGGCCGCCCGCCCTGAAGCGCCGCTGCTCCTCCTCCTCCTCGCCCCTCTCCGGGGTGTCATGCTGTGTGTCCGTGGCCCGTGGGCCCGTGCCCGCCAGGAGTGTCGTCTCCCCAGCTGGAGCCAGCTCCGGGCAGGTGGGAGGCCCTGGGAGACCCGGTGGGTGAAGCCCCCGGCCTCGCCCCTTCCCCGGAGGCTGCCAGCCCTTTGCACGTGCAGCCTCGCTGTTGCTGTTCCTTTCCTTGTAGAACGTTCCGTATTTTGAGTCGGGGATCTCACGGTGTGGTCCAGGCTGGAGGGCAGTAGCCGGATCACAGCTCACCGCGGCCTTGACTTTCTGGGCTCAGGTGATCCTCCCTCTAACGTCTCCCAAGTAGCTAGGACTACAGGTGCCCCCGTGCCTGGCTGATGTTTTTGTTTTTTAATATTATCTTTTGTTGGGAGGGGGGCCTCACTATGATGTTCAGGCTGGTCTCAAACTCCTGGGCTCAAGCAGCCCTCCCGCCTCAGCCTCCCAAAGTGCTGGGATTACAGGTGTGAGCCACCACACTCCTGCCGTTGTAGAACTTTAAAGTAGAAGGCTGGGCAGTGTGGAAGTTCATGGCTGTTTGGAACAAGTTACTGCCCTCGTTTCTGGAGCCTCCGCTCACAGCCTCCCTCTCCTTTGTTTTTTGGGCTCTGGGCCCAGAGAGAACCCACTTGTGCCGGGTTCATCCTGTGCCTTTTGGGCACGGAGCCCAGATAGCAGAACCAGAGTTGCTCTTTGCAAGGACGGGTTTGCCTTTGTTTACTGGGAAGTTGTTTCTTGTAAAGCACAGTGTGTGCGGTGCTGCTCTTAGATAACGTACAAACTGTGTCTTCCTGACAGGCAGTTAAGGAAGAAGGGCAAGATCCTGATGAAATGGGCCTCGATTTGGAAGCCACAAGCAGGAAGATAGCAAGGAGATGCGCTAAAGGTACCACTGTGCTTGCTGCTTTGTGGGGCCAAGTGTTTTGAGAACTTGGGGAGTAAAGGGAGGAGTGGGGAAACGTGCAGGTGTCGAGTGAAGTTAAAACGTAATATTGGAACTCACAGCTCTAGGGAAAATAATCAAAGTAGATTTTAGAAAACATCTCAGCCTTTGTCAGTGAGATTAAAAAAAGAACTTTAAGAGTGGGCCTTAAAACTGTCCCAACTGGTCTGAGCAATCAAAGGCGCCTGCTGGCTTTTTCTGGCCTCAAAAAATAACCCGTTTTTTTGAGTCGGAGTCTCACTCTGTCACCCAGGCTGGAGTGCAGTGACACGCTCACAGCCACTGCAGCCTCAACCCGCTGGGCTCAAGTGATTCTTCCACCTCGGCTTCCCAAGTAGATGGGGCTACAGGTGCACGCCACCACACCCAGCTAATTGTTTGATTGATGGTAGAGACAAGTCTTGCCAAGTTGCCCAGGCTGATCTCAAACCCTTAGGCGCATACGATTCTCTAGCTGCCTCTTCAGAAAGTGCTGGGATTACAGGAATGAGCCAATGCCCCTGACTAAAAAACAGTCTTAACCCAAGAAAAATGACACCAGCCTGAGACAAATGGGCCCAGTTCCTCTAGTGTCCGAGATAGATTGTTGGGATATTTATTTGCACTAAGCCTGTTTTTACCAGTATTTTTTTTAAAGTTAAGATACAGTTAGCAAGTCATTAATTTCACGTTGTTAAGGTGTACAAGTCAGTGCCTTTTAGTGTACAATAGAGAACCCCCAAAACCTGGAACTTATTTCTAAAAAGTTGTGTATTCTTTTTTTTTTTTTTGAATTGGAGTCTCACTCTGTCGCCCAGACTGGAGTGCAGTGGCATGCTTCCGGCCGCCGCAGCCTCCACCCTCTGGGCTCCGGCAATCCTTCCGCCTCAGCCTTCCAAGTAGCTGGAACTATAGGCGCGTGCTACCACGCCCGGCTTTTTTTTTTTTTTTTAAATTGTGGACATGAGGTCTCGCCATGTTGCCCAGGCAGGTCTCGAACCCGCGGTCTCAGGCAATCCACTCACCTCAGCCTCCCAAAGGTGCGGGATTACAGGCTGAGCCACCGAGTCCGGCTTTTATTCTTAAATGTTTAAACTTCAGTCACTTTCCAAGTACTCTCACTTTCCAAGTACTCTCCATGTGATGCAGTACACCTGAGATGCTTTTTCCAAAGCTCAAAACAGTTTTTGAACCTGCCAATTTTGATGCCTTTAGTGCTTCTGCTGTTTTTGGTTTCGCCTCTTCCACATCAGCAAAACGTTTCCCTTTGAGGCCTTTTTTCATCTGAGGAAACAAAAAAAGTGGCTCAGGGTGAGATCACATGAATAGGAAGGATGGGGGTCATGCTGTTTTGGGGTAAAAACTGTTGAACACTCAGCATGGTATGGGCAGATGTGTTGTCCTGGTGGAAGAACCAGTCACCTGTTTCCACAACTTGTGACGTCTCTTCCACAAATCTGAGGCGGTGCTGAGTGATGCAACTGTCTGAAAGTTTCCAGATAAACACTTGGGTTGACCATTTGGTCCAGAGGAACAAATTCCAAGTGTCCTACAAGGGATGTGCCCTCTAAAGATAGTTCTGAGTATTTTTTTTGGTGCCCCTCGAAGTCACAAGGCTGTGCAACCACCACCATCAAGTTCGGGATTTTCATCACCTCGGAAGGACACGCCATCCCCATAACAAGTTTCTCCCTCTCTCTCTCCCCCCTCCCCTCCCTCTCTCCCTCCTGCCCCTGATGACCCCTAATCCACTTTCTGTCACTGTAGATTTGCCTATTCTGGACATTTCATACAGGTGAAGTTTTACAACGTGTGGCCTTCTCCATCACCTTTTGCCCTTAGTGTGACATTTCCAGGGTTCATCTGTGTTGTCATACGTATTGGTACTTCCTTTCTATGGCCAATAGCACTTATTTTGGAAGCATCTTGTTCTGAAAAACTTGGAGTCCTTGACTGTCTGGATTGGTATTGTCCTCATCGTTAGGTCCTGTGATCATGAGGACAGTGTGACTTGGGATTCTTGTGCAGTGGGCCTGTTTGCTTGAAGAGCAAGGTGCATGTCCCGCTCACCTGAGGCAGTGCTGAGTTCAGGCAGTGATGTGGCTGCTTAGAAAGTCAAAAGAAGCCTGGGCTGGGTGGCTCAGCCTGTAATCCCGCGCCTTTGGGAGGCTGAGGTGAGTGGATTGCCTGAGCCCGCAGGTTGGAGACCCACCTGGGCAACTTGGTGAGACCTCATCTCTACAATAAATCAAAAAAAATTAGCCGGGCGTGGTAGCGCGCGCCTGTAGTTCCAGCTAGTTGAAAGGCTGAGGCGGAAGGATCGCCAGAGCCCAGCAGGTCGAGCCTGCGGTGGCCGGGAGCGGCCATCGCACTCCAGTCTGGGCGACAGAGTGAGACTCGAACTCAAAAAAAAAAAAAAAAAAAAAGAAAGTCAAAAGAGGCCGGGCTCAGCGGCTCAGCCTGTAATCTCAGCACTTTAGGAGGCAGAGGTGAGTGGATTGCCTGAGCCCGCGAGTTCGAGACCCACCCGGGCAACTTGGCGAGACCTCATCTCAACAATAAATCAAAAATTAGCCGGGCATGGTAGCACGCGCCTGTAGTTCCAGCTACTTGGA